AATTATCAAGCCCTTAAATCAAGTTCAATGCGAACTTGAATTAATTGTTCATGGTGCTTGAGCAAATCCAAATTATTATTATTACTCAAGTGTTTATGACAGATAGTTCAGATTTAAGATGAAGCTCTAAAACTTTAAAATCAAATATGACAGTCTGTTAATATTCTTCCTGTATTTGATTATCACATTAGAAATCAAATCAAAACGAAAGCCAAATAAAATAAAATCAATAGAAAAATAAAAGAGGTAAAAAAAAACTTTCAATACAAGGTAAAAAAAAAGTGTATTAACTTAATTTAAATACAAGATAGAGAAAATAAAATTATTTTTAAAAAAAAATTAAAAAAATTAATTTTTTTAAAAAAAATAATATTTATACACGTGGCAGACGAGTGTGTACAAACACAACCAACTTGGGTGATTGAAGGTGCCACATCAGCACAAAAGGTGCACAAAAATACAAACAAATGAGTTCAGTGGGGTCAGAGGCGTATCCAGGATCTCAAGAACATGGGGGCACCATTATCTTCAAAATAGACAATTAATTCAATTATATAAATTTTACGGTGAGAACAAGTTGACGAGCAAATAGGTAGTAGCAATCTTTATATAGTAATCTATTAGCAAAAAACATCATTCACTTACAATTGTCCTCGACGAGTTTTCATATTTTGAAAACGGTCAATAATGGCATCATTCACTACAACACAATCTATTTTTAGCTACAAATTCGAAAATCATGGCTATTATTTAGTAATAGCTACAAAATTTTTAGTTTTATAGCTATTTAAAAATTAGTAAATTTTCTTAGCCACAAAAATTAATTTGGCGAAGTTAAATCCTCATTTTTGTTACAATTGCTAATAATTGTGGCAATAATTATATGAATAGCTACAACTCTATTGCTACAATTCAATTTTATAGCTGGTTAAAAATTTTTACCACACAATAAAAGTTATTGTAGCAATAGCAACTTTTTAGTCACAATAAATTATTTGAAACAAAATGATGTAGCTAAATAAATATTTTTGCTTCAAGGTATAAAAATTTGTCGCAATAGTTAACTGCTATAGCCACAAGTATTTTGCTATAGTAAAATTTTGTAGCTAATGATTTATTTTTGCCACGAGTTGAAATTTACCATAGCAATAATAATCTTTTAGTCACAATAAATTATTTAAAATAAATTATTATAGCTAAATAAATATTTTTGCTTCAAGTTGTTAAAAAATGTGGCTAAAGTTAATGATATAGCTATAGATTTACTGCTTTAATAAAATTTCGTAGCTAATTTTTTTGGTATTAATGATAATTATTTTATCCATAAAAGCTTAATTAAAACAAAATATTATGGCTAAGTAAATATTTGTTTTGCGTACTAAAAAACATGAAAATGGTTGGTTGAATAGCTATAATTATTTGTCATGACGAGATGATATAGCCACAAATATATCATTGTTAAAATTTTGTAGCTTATAATTATTTTTTATCATGGGTTAAAATTGTTGCAACAATAATAATCTTTAGCAACGTCAAAATATACCTTTCTTGCATCTAAATATAACTGGAGTTATTAATCATTCAATTCAATTTTACACAGTCTTATTTGTAAGTTTCAAATATAGTTCAAATAAATAGTTAATTATATTTAATTGATTTTAATTAATTAGTCATATCAAATTTAAACAAAATTTCTCGAAGTCTCGCCTTAAACTTCATTTTGATCAAGTGCTTCCATAATTATTATTTGTCTCAAATGTGTTTCATTGAAGTAATACATTTATCGATCTATTGTAATTAGTTGCGTCAATCATTCAATAAAATTTAATTTTATATATGATTTAATTTGAATAAATAAGTGATTATATTAACTTTGATTAACTAATTATAGAATATTTAAACAAAACTTTAACAAGTCTACTCAAGCTTCATCCTGATCAAGTGATTCTAGAATTGTTATTTGACTCAAACATGTTTCATGAGAACATTATTCATCAATCTAGTGTAAATAAAGGTATTAATAATTTGATTTGATTTTATGGGCATAATTCTAATAAATAGGTAATGATATCTAACAATTTTATTAATTAATTTATCAAACTTAAGAAAAGGTACTTCACTAAGTCTCGCTAAAGCTCCATCTTGATCAAGTGCCTCCAAAATTACTATTTTTTTGAGAATTTTTCTTTGTAATTAGTTTTGTTAATCATATCATTCGATTCAATTCAATTTTACAATGGCTTAATTGTAAGTTTCAAATATAAATTAAATAAATATATGATTATATTTACTTTAATTAATTAATTATATCAAATTTAAGCAAAACGTCAATAAGTCACACTTAAGTTTCATCCTGGTCAAGTGTTCTGAGAATTATGATTTGACTCGTATATAATATTCTGAAATAATACAATTATCATTCTAATTTAATTATAGTTGATCATCATTCATCTCAATTCAATTTTAAAGAATCTTACTTGTGAGTTTCAATTATAATTTAAATAAATAGGTTATTATATTCGATTATAAGTATTTTGATAATTTTAAGTTTACTCAAGCTTAATCTATATTTATGATACCTTTGTGATATACTATTAGTTTAAATTAATTAATAATTTTTATAAATATAATTATAACTAGTTGACCTAAGAATTTAATAATTGAATATAGTTAATATTTTAGTGTATGTATACCATTATTTATATCTAATACAAATTAGTTTTAAATAATACTTCATCTGTTCACTTTTACTTATCACTTATTTCTAAAATAGATTTTAACTTTTACTTGTCACCTTTGACATATCATAAAAGGGAATAAATATATTATTATTTTTTCATATTTTACCCTCAATATTAAATAATTATTTTCTAAATTATTTTTCAAGACATCATTTAATAGGGGATAGTTTGGTAAAATACTTATATCACTAATTATTTTCTTAATATATTGTCAAGTCAAACTATGACAAGTAAAAGTGAACAGAGGGAGTCATATATAATAATTTAATAAGTTGTAAATAAAATGAGTAAATGTGATTGTATATCGAATATAGTAATATAATAGTTTTACGGTTTTACCTAAAGAAAATTAAAACCAAAGCTTCTTTTTTATGAAATAATGAGGAGGGAAAACAAATTTAAAAGAATTCATGAAAAATATCCCTCCAAATCGTTTCCCTCTATTTTTGGGGCCTAATTACAGCCTTCTTTTCCTATTAGAGAGCAAAAATAAAAATGACAAAAAGAATTGGAAAGCCAAAACCCTAAATTCTCTAAATAGATCCAAAATCCATTCATGAAGAGAGGAGCATCAGATTCCTTTATCTCAAATTCAGAAAACAAAGGTACTGAATTTCTATTGTTTCTTTAACTTATATTTAAAAACACTATGAGTATAATGCGTATTATACATTTCAGTTTTAATATCACTATGAATATTCTATTAGCAAAAGTTTCTTGTAGCACTTGCAATGAAAATTCAGTATGTAGTATGGGTTAGAAGTTTTTGATTATCGAATAAAAGTAAAACTTGGATGTGAATGTGAAGGATATTTAGGGGTGAAGATTGAAGGGTGTTAGGTTTGTATCTAATGGGCAAATTAGTTCAAACATATGTTTATATATTACATCTGATGTCCAATTTATATGGTGTAGTTTGAGTACTTGATTTGATGTTTAAGAAACAAAAATTGAAATTTGTGGTCTAATATTTTTATAGGTTACAATTGTAGTGATATAGAAGTATTGCATTACAAAAGTAAAGTAAAATTAGAAAGCTAATGATGAATTCTGTAATGAACTCCGTAGATTTATTTTATAAGGGAAAAAGGGTATAACTTTTGATATCAACGATGCCAATTTCTAAATCGTTGTTGCTAAATGGTTTATTATTTTCTTTATATCTCTTAACAGATTTTGGACTATATGATACTTGAGAAATATCTTTTAGTTTTACCATTGTTGTCAAACAAGAAAAATATGCAAATTGGCCAAGTCAAAAATCCTCAAAAATTGGTCATAGAAGATGTTAAAGGAAATTTTAGTAAAACTAATGTTTTTAGGTAAAATATATGATTATATGTACTCCTTAAATTCTATATATAATGTATTATTTTTGTCTTTTGATACTATTAATTTACTTTATCGAAATTTTGCAGGTAAATTTGTAGAATTATTAGAACAACTTGGAGATAATGGCATGAGAAAAAGGAGAAGACGATGCCACTTAGAGCCTTAAGCAAGATACTACTATCGTAATAGCTCTTATAAAAGAATTATGTATTGTAAATGTTCTAAAATTGAAATATGTAATTATGTGAAACTTGAAATCTATTTTGGAATTTAAATTTTGTAATTTTGATCCTATAGTCGAAATTTTTGTGATTAATAATTCTTATGGAGATATCCTTCATTTGTAGCAATGGATTTTTATAGTTGTGGCTAAATCTATATATAGATTATAAAAAAATATAACTATACATTTTCATCTTTTAACTTTTATAAAAAAATAAACAAAAATAGCTAGATAATTGTATATTTTGTCGAAAAAGTTGAATTCTTAGCCATGTATAAAAAAAGTTGTGGCAAATACTTTAATTCATAGCTATAAGTTATCTAACTCGTAGCTAAATACAAATATTATTGCCACGAGACTAAAATATAATATAGCCATGAAGTAAGATTATTCATAGCAAACAAATCAAGTGTTTTGCCACAACAAAATATATTGTGGCTACCATATAAAAGATGCTATGTCGTGGCAAAAAATTTAAATGATTTGCTATAGGTATATATTTTGTAGCAAATTTTCTATATCATTACAACTACAACATCATTATTTTTGTAGCTATAAGTGTTAGTCCTTAGCCACAGATCATGTAAAGTCTGTAGGTAACTTTTAGCCACGCTACATCTTGCTACGAATGCTAGGAAACAAAAGTTATAGCTAAAGTGTTTAGCCACGGACTTTTTAATATTTAGCTACGATGTATTTTGTAGCTATATATGCATTTTCTTGTAGTGATTACTTACATTTTTAAATATACTACGCTCTATATAGCAAACTAAACAACCATTCAAAAGATCTTCATCCATCCTATTACGCAAATCATTCTTTATGTACTTCATTGATGAGAATGCTCTTTCCACGCTTGCGGTAGCAACAAGAATAATCAAAGTTAACTTCACAAGTAGATACACAAGTGACCAAGTTTGATCTAGTTTTGTCTCTATCATCACTTTTGCAAGATCCTTGATTCCCTTCAAGTTGAGAAACTTGCTATCACACTTTTGAGCATAGACAATAAAATCATCAAGTTGAAAATTGAGTTCCCGAAGCTCTTTATCACCAAACTCACTTGGGTAGTACTCGGCTAGTTTCATTATCCTATCCTTGTGAAAATTAGCAAATGAATCAATCGGACTCAAACTAGCCATACCAGTGGCAGAGCCAGGATTTTCGCCAAGGGTGTTCATACTTTAGGACAAGTAAAAAAATAAACCTTGCTAGTCAAATTATAAAGATTGGCTTCAAAATAGTCATACCTCAATATCAAATTAACCAACTATCCAAAATGAAAATTCTTAAAACAGAAACTTACAAAATATCAATGAATAAACTAAGGAAGATGAAGTAGGACAAATATATTGACGGATAGTTTCATATACACCAAAATATGTAAATTGTAAAGTGGTAACTACAATTGCACTCGACGACACTTCATCTCTTGAAATGTTTTCATAATACACTCATTAGAAACATCTTTAAATACTTTTTCCTCTACATAAGGTACTATGCAACCATCTAAGAATTCATCATCCATTCGATTTCGCAAGTCATTCTTGATAATCTTCATTGCCGAAAAAGCTCTTTCAACTGTAGCAGTGGCAACAGGTAGAAGCAAAGCAAACTTCACTAAAAGAAATACGAGAGAATAGGTTAAATGCTTCTTTGTCTCAACCAACTTTCTTGAAAGTTCTCCAAGTCCACCCAAATTGGAGAACCTTTCATCAATATCACGAACATCAATAATGTAATTAACAAGTTGATTCTCAAGAGCTCTCATGTTGGACCCATCAAAATCATCAGGATATAATTCAGCCATTCTCATTATCTTCCTTATGTCAAAACTAGAAAATGAATCAATTGGATTCAAGCAAGATACTCCATTAAGCAAATCACTTGTCACCTCATTGAAACGATCATTAAGTTCTTGTAGTTGCCAATCAATGATTTTATAAAACACATCCACACGATAATGATGCAAAGTAGTACAAATAACTACTTTACGTCGTGATCTCCCAGAATTAGCATATGGATCATCAAAATTGGGTAATGAAATGCCATGCTTGATACGAAATGCTTCTACCTTTTCTTTAAGTGAATCCCATCCAATATTTTTTTTAAAGAGAGGATCCCATTCATTATCTCTTAAAGCTTGCAACCTTCTCTTTGCTACCTTTACAAGAATCATGGCATTTGCAATGTCTTGCTCCTTTTTCTGTAATGAAACATTAAGATCATTTGTGATTCCTAAAACATCTGTCATCAAATGCAACAAGAAAATAGTCTCAAACGTTTGACAACTTCTGAGAAATCCCGATGCGCTTGCTCTTTCTTCCAAAGTACTTGCATTTTCAACAAGAGTATCAAGTACATCAACAATAGAGTCAAAGCTACTAATAAAGTTTCCAAATGACTTGTAGTGAGATCCCCAACGAGTATCACCGGCTTTAACAAGACCAAGTTCTTGATTCAACCCTCTACCCGTTTCTAGTTCACCCATATCCAATGCCATTTGGAGATGCTTTTTTTGAGATTCTCGAAAATTATCCACGCGTTTAAAAGAAGCTCCCAACACATTCAAAATATTTGAAATTAATAATACAAGTTCACCTACTTGAACACACTTTTTAGAAACCGCAACAAGAGTTAATTGAAGTTGATGAGCAAAACAATGAACAGAATGAGCCGATCTACTTTCTTGTCTAATCAACGTTTTAAGACCACCTAGCTCACCTTGCATATTACTTGCCCCATCGTAACATTGCCCACGTACATTAGATAAAGTCAAAGAATGGTGAGCAAGTACATCTACAATTGCTTTCTTTAGAGATAAAGCATTAGTATCTTTAATGTGAACAAGTCCAATAAATGCCTCCATCACAAACCCCATTTTGTCAACATATCTTAGACAAATAGCCATTTGCTCTTTGCGTGACACATCTCTAGATTCATCAACCAATAAAGCAAAGTAGTCACTATTTATATCGTTTATTATTGCCTTAACTGTTTCAATCTTACACGCAGTCACAATATCTTTTTGGATGTCATGAGAAGTCATTTTATTATTTTTTGGAGCTTTTTCTAACACAAAAGGTTTAATTGCATCACATCTAGCAGCTAACCAAGAAAGAACTTCAAGAAAATTACCCTTGTTCAATGACGATTCACTCTCGTCATGACCACGGAATGCAAAACCTTGATCCAAGAGAAGTCTTACCACATCGATTGAAGTGTTTAACCGAATCCGATATTCATACTTACTTTTATCATCCAACTTGTAAAATGCGGCTTGAATGGATTGTTGTTCTCGCATGAGATCTTCACACTTTCTTTTGGATTGATTATGAACGCTATTCGGTAGACCAATATGTGTAGCAAAACTATCTTTTCTATGCCAATTTGTAAATCCCTTAGTCGAAAATACATTACCACCACCTTGATTAATGTTTTCTCCTTGAAACAAATAACAAGGTAAACAATAAGCAGCATCCGCACTAATACTGTATTCCAACCAATCACGATATTCATCAAACCATGTATAAACAAAACGACGTGGTGTTCCAAAAAAATTAGTTTGAGGAAACTGATGATTTTGAGGTTGACAAAGACCTTTAATGATATATGCCCTCCTTATCTCATCACGAAGGTTTGGATGATAATTCAAAATTGGAGTTCTTTCAGCCGGAGCAGCCTTTAAATCATTTACATCAAATTCTTGTCTTTGGGAAGAGTGAGATGATATTTCTATTTGGTTGACATTTTCATCTCGGCGTAGTTGATTTTGATTTTGAGGCGCCAAACTTGTTTTGGGTACTCTAAAAAAATATTTCTCCAAACTCATTGAACACCAAACTGAAATAGTAGTCAAATTCAAGTATACCAAACTTATTAAAAAGCATCCACAATACACCAAATAGTTGATCGATACTCAAATAAATAAAGTAGCTTTTAACATAAAAACTAAGATATTCAAGTCTTTCAACACATGATTAGAAAAAACTAAACTAAAGGAAAAAAAGAATTAAGAAATACCTTTTCACACTTCAATGGCGATTGAGGAAGAAATATACAATGATTAAAGCTTCCAATTTCTTAAAAACTTGCAAATATGTATGAAAGTTGAGAAGAGAGAAAGGTAAGAGTAAAGTTGTTAAGGGTTTTTGGGAGAAGAAGAAGTCAAAAAACTAAAAGGAAAAGACAACTATGAATCTATTTTTTTTAAAAATTAAGAAAAGTAAAAAATAGACCTTTTATTTCCTTTTGTTTTTCTTAACTTAAAAAAGGTAACTTTTGTACTTTTTCTTAAGAGAAAAATGGAACAAATATTAAATAAATGAATTGTTCAAGCCTGGGATCGAACCCAGACTGAATTTTGCCTTTTCTAAGAGAACAAATGGAATAATGAAAAAATATAAAGAAAACGCCAACGCTTGGGCTCGAACCCGGAACGCTGAGGCATCTTTGCACAACCTTAACCGCTGGGCTGTCAACCTTTATTGTGTCAAGGTTGTGCAACAGTTAGTATATATCCAAAAAATTCGATATTTAGTATATATACCCGTAAAAAATTTTCAACGAAGGTTGTTCATCTGACCACCCTCGCCATGTCATAGCTCCGCCCCTGAGCCATACCGAGAAGCAAGTCACTAGTCACCACATCAAAACGATTATTGAGTTCTTGAAGTGCCAAATCAATGACGGCATAAAATACTTCCACACGAAAGTGATGCAAATATGAAATATTGGACCTTTTACGCTTCGACTTCCCATTAGAGTAGTCTTCATTCATTTTGGGAATTGAAATTCCATGTTTACCACAAAATAAGCTAACCTCATCCATCATAGAGTCCCATTCATCCTCTCTCATCATTTGCAATCGTTTCTTTGAAAGGTCAAGCAATCCCATAGCATTAACGATATCTTGATCTTTCTTTTGTAAAACTTTATTCAACTCATTCGTCAATAGCAACACCTTAAACATCAAGTGCAACATAAAGACAAATTAAAATTCATGAATCTTGCTCAAAAGATTTTCCGTCGCAAATCTATCAAGATGATATGGACAATCACGTTTCATATCCTTAAGCACATTAACAATTGAAGAAAAAAGAATCAGGAAATTGTCCAAGGTTTTAAAATGAGACCCCCAACGAGTATCACCCGGTCGTTGGAGGCCACGTTCTTGATTCAAACCTTGCCCTGTATGAACTTCTCCATATTTAAGCAACTCTTCCAACTTATCTTCTTGATGTTGTCGAAGTGAATCTCTGCATTTAAATGAAGCTCTAATAGTATTCAAAATATTAGTGAGAACATAAAAAAAATTATCCACATCCGAATTCTTTTTGGAAAGACCTACAAGTGCCAATTGCAATTAGTGAGCAAAACAGTGAATAGAATATGCAGATGACGTATCTTGTAAAATCAAAGACTTGAGACCATTTATTTCCCCTTGCATATTACTAGCCCCATCATAACCTTGACCACGTATTTTGGATGTACATAATGAGTGATCCAAAAGCAAAGAATAAATTGCCTTTTTTAATGATTGAGAAGATGTATCATTTACGTGGACAATACCCAAGAATCGCTCTATCACCATTCCACTTTTGTTGACATATCTCAAAATTAGAGCCATTTGCTCCTTATGAGAAACATCCTTTGATTCATCAACTAATATTCCAAAATAATCACCGTCCAAGTCTTCAATGATAGCCTTAGTTGTTTCTTTAGCACAAGCCTCCACAATATCTTTTTGAATTGTCGAACAAATCATCATATCATTTTGTGGAGCATTACCTAATATTACTCTTCCCACATCAAAACTTCTATCCCCATACCATTTCAAAAGTTCAAGAAAAGCACCCTTATATTCAGAACCTTCACTTTCATCATGCCCATGAAATGGAAATCCCGATGTCAAGAGAAATCTTGCTACATCAATTGAGGCATTTAAACGCATCCGATAATCACTTCTTGCCTTTTCACTTTGCTTGTCAAAAGAAGATTGGATCGATTGTCGTTGGTTTTTCAAATCTTGCATCCTATTGAAACATTTATGATGGATACTATTTACCTTACCAACATGTTTTTTGAATCTTTCTAAAGCTTTGTTCCAACACCTAAAACCATCTCTTGTAAATGAATCTCCGACATTTCCACGACTTTCAAGTTCATTCTTGAACAAATAACAACACAAACAAAATGCCGCGTCTGCTTTAATGCTATATTCCAACCATTGAGATCTTCTCTTAAACCAAGTTGGTCGAAATTGACGCATTTTTTCTCCAAACTTAGTTTTAGGGAAGATATGATCAACAGGCTGACATGACTTTTTTTGAATGTAATACCTCCTTACCGCATCTCGAATATTAGGACCATAAGATGAAATAGGCATTCGATCTTTGGGATCTGCTTCAAGAGATTTAAAATCAAGCATATTATCCATATTTGAAAGTGGAAAAGAATTTGTATGTCTTTGAACTTCCGGAGCAACTTGTGAACTCACAAATGGTTGATTAGAGCTAGAACTTGGTTGGCCATCTTTTGGCTTTGGTAACTTGATGAGAAACTTATCCATTTGTGATTTGATGAATTGATTGTAAGAATTATTTTACCTACAAAATTATATATTCACCCTTTTATTCAATCTTATAAAAACAAAATAATTTTTAAAAAATATTAGCACAAATAACAAGTTTACTAATAAAAGAATCACAATTATTAGATAACTATTTAGAAATCAAGAAATTCTTATAAATTTAAATATTCAAGCAATCAAATAATGGAACCACTTCATAAATCAAGAAAAACATATAGATAACTATTTAGAAATCAAGAAATTCTTATAAATTTAAATATTCAAGCAATCAAATAATGGAACCACTTCATAAATCAAGAAAAACATATAGATAACTATTTAGAAATCAAGAAATTCTTATAAATTTAAATATTCAAGCAATCAAATAATGGAACCACTTCATAAATCAAGAAAAACATATAGATAACTATTTAGAAATCAAGAAATTCTTATAAATTTAAATATTCAAGCAATCAAATAATGGAACCACTTCATAAATCAAGAAAAACATATAAAACAAATGAAGTACATTAATAAATAATATTTTTTTTAGATAACATACCTTGTTACTTGTTCTCAAATCTCACTTCTACTTCACCATGAACAACAAAGTGGAAATGTGGAATGAAGCCAAAAGAATAACAATATGATGTCTTTACTCCTTTTTACCTTTTAGTTTAGGGCTTTGAAAAGTCAAAAGAAAAAGTAAAAAAAAATAAAATAAGAAAAACGTCTAAGTAAAGAAGGAAAGGAGAAAAAGAAAGTAAAAAATATAATTTGACTTTATTGACACTTTTAGCTTAAGGTCTAGACATAGCTAATGCAACCTAAAAATATGGGTAATTGAACCTCTTTTTATTTATAAATTATTAAAAAGATCTATGAAAAGTGACACATTTTATTATATTAATTAAAAATTAAAAATGTTAATGTGGATAGAAAAATTTGAACCACAAATCTATAAGTTATGCACCCCCTATATGTACTTACTTATCAATATACTAGAGTATTCTTTTTAACCTTGGGTTCACCAATACAAATTTTAAAAAATAATTAGAAAAATAGTAGTATTATATAGGGGTTAGGAAGGGGAGGATGGGTGCATGTGAACCCCCTCCCCTTCATGTGAATACGCCTCTGAGTGGGGTAATAGGTCCCTAGTGATACCAAACTGTCACGACCTAATTTCTCAGGTCATGACGGCACCTACTACATCCCACCAGTAGGTAAGCCTAACCCTTAGCCTGAAGCCATAAGCAACGAGCTACCAAGCAGAACCCAACAATAAAAAGCAAAAAATCTTATATCAAGCTAAGAAATGATAATCAACAGAAAACAATATAGGAACCATTCCAAGACCTAACATCAGTCAGTAGTTGAGCATCTAATCCAAAATAAGAGTATAAGACTTTCACAAATACAAGGCAAGTACATAATGTCTCTGAATACAATATAAAGACTAAGCCTAGCCAAAACAGATGAAAACCGGTAGCTCCAGACACCAGAAGCTCACCCTAATCTACGAAATCCCAAGCTACTCCGCACGACTCCAAAATAACGATGATAAATCAACTACAATCTGAAGGGGGTAGAAGTGTAGTATGAGTACCAAAAACGATACTCGGCAAACAACGAGCGACTGAGCTCAAAGATAACATAAGAGATACTAAAGAAGCCAAGAAATAAAGAAGAGAAATAGGAAACAAGGGGTAAGAAGTCGAGTCAAGAATGCACCTGGATTGCAAGCCAACAACTTAATTGCAAGCAACTAAAATACCAAGTCAACTACCTAGTGTCAGGAGGACCCACAACCACAATTCTAAAGTCAAAACCTACCAGGTAACAATAAAACAATAGCATAGAACAAAATGTAGTCAAACAATAACCTAACCGGACCCTCATAAGCCCGAAAGGTACAAACAACAAACATAACCCACTCGGCCCCTATAATCTGAAGGGTACAAACAACAAACAAGTATACTAGTGATAGGTAATGCATATGAATGCATGATGAGCAGCACCATCCAAACCTCTAACTAGAGGTAACAACCTCGAACCACAAAACACCAACCTCAGACTGGGAATAACGACCTCAAACCGTCAACATCATCCTTGGTCTAGAAATAGTGGCTTCGAACCATGAGCATTGGCCTCGAACCGAAAGAAACGGTCTTGAACCGTGAATAACTAATAATGGGGCCGCCTACCCGGTTAGTAAAATCCCAAGGGCGCCAGAAAGACCAAAAGCATGCATGAAAGGGAGTCGACGCGCCGATTAGTCAAGTAAAAACTGAGCACATCACAAATGCCTCTAATATCTCAAGTATAAAAAGGAGCACGTCCCTGACGCTCGTAATCTCAAAATTCACTAAGTCAAGTGATCCAAGTGGTATGACTCCCGTTAAAATCAGTTTAGAATAAAAGCTGAGTAAGATACTTGATAAATATGCCAATGCATGGGCTGGGATCGTACCACAAAATTCGTGAAAATGTGCAAACAATGCAAGCAATCCATCACCAGCATTCAAACGAGGCACTTAAAATTAAATAATTATATGACTGATGTAACCACACTACCAAGGTAGAGAGTACTAACCTGGAATCCAACTAGTCCTCACATACGTCCTCGGGCCCAACAATATAATCATAAGCTCAATAAGGATATACCATGCCCACCGCAAATCAACAAGCAAATGGATCAAGAAGAGATTTCAAATCTATAAAGGGGGGAAAACTCAAGGGACAATATCCTACCCCAATCACATCGCTCCAGTCCCAGCCTGAGCACAATCATGACTAACACACGACTATGACAAGCCACCAAGGTCACAAGCATCATCGCAAGGAGAATTACATAAAAACAAGCCCTAAAGGGAACAAACTATAACTACGAGGCGAAAAAACACAACCTAAAGAATCTAATGTCCAGCCTAGTCTAAGGCCGCCACGAATCAATCCTAACAAGGATAAGTGAGATCATCTACACCATAAGCGAACCCACAGTCTAAACTAAGGATTCTAACACCTACAATAAGCCCAAACAGAATCAAGAAAGGATGAAATAACAAGAGAAAAGCTAAATATCTTTAAAATACCATTCGAAATTACATGAAATCTAAAAGGACGACCTAACGATCGAACTGCCAGTCTCAGCAAGTCATAAATGACTTGTGGTCGCTACAGGAAAGCTCTAAATGCTGAAAAAACTTAAAAAACGAAGAAAATAACCTGAAGGGTCATTACAACATCCACTACTAAAAGGACTTTCGTCAGCGAAAGTAGAAGGACATACAAAGCCTAAAGGTAGAAAAAAACGAGGATACTGAGGCCGTATGCTCCGCCAGACCCTTGGACAACCTCTCGGATCGAACAATGCCATCACGAAACTTAGCTAAGAGGAAAATCCTCAAATTCACTTCAAACCACCAAACACTCCTCCAAATTCATTTTGGTCTCCAACTCTCACCCAATTGAACTAGACTTGCCTAAAAGAATCAGATTCATCTGAAAAGCAAACACCACACCAAAACAACATAATTGAGCAAACGCAAGACCATGGCAGATGCAACACAACTCCCAAATAAAAAAAACTAACCTTATGCTCCATATCTAACATCTTCTAACCACCAAAAGCGTTTTATCGGTCCTTAGCTATCCTAAACATTTCTAGCACCAATTGAAACCTTCCTACAAGCCCACACAACATCAACCTTAGAAGAACAACATGATTCTCCCAAATATCGAGGAATGACTACTGCCCAAACAAGGAACTCAGCCCAAGGCAAAACCCCAAAATCCATTTCTAACCCTCAAAACCAACAAACCCATCTGAAACACGACCTTCTAAATCTAACCACACTAATCCAAAGGACGATCATCATGTGAACGACAAGGTAGCATTGAGCCTCACACTAGTGACCTATTCTAACCAAAGGAACTTCTGAAACACCGACACTATGAGCTCACAAACTGCTCTGTCACTGCAAATTCGAGTCAAACACCCCATCTTAAGAGAAACCAAGCCGGAAGGCGGTGTATCAACATAGTCAACTGGCTGATAGTGGCCCAAGTGTACCAACCCTATCACGAACCATGCAATCTACCAAGCAGGATAAAAGCAAACCATGCATCCTAAACTAGAGCCAACTCCAAAATCCCACAAATTACCATGACCCCATCATGAAGATGAATCTTCTTAGTAAGTTTTCATTTCCCAACAAGACTAAGGCCTGAAATCACCGATGAGCATCACCTTTCCAACTCTAAATCATACACTCACCTTGAGGGCTATAAACGAAACAACAAAGAACCAACACAATAACTAGTCCAAGCACAACAAGGGATCATACCTCCACCTTCCAGCTAGCCCGTGGCTGACCTATGTAGTGACTTATGGGTGCTTAAGCACCTACTGCCTTTTGTGACCACATTATTATTTATGTACATAATTTAGTAATTCATTGAAATATATTAACTGAGCACCCATTATATGCAGCAATTTCCGAGCTAAAAATAGTTGACCACCCAAGATACAAAATTTTTGGATCCACCACTGCAGCTAGCCATAACCAACCTCCAAGAATACAAGAAGCAGACAAATCCAAAAGACTAAACGAGCGAAAGCAATCTCCCAACTACTACCCAAAAGGGTCAGTTCACAACTAAGCCAACCTCCTAAGCCAAATAGGCTCTACAATGGGATTTAAACCATAGTTTAGGGGATATTGTGCCTTATCCCTTTTCACGTAGTATTAAAATCAATCTATTGGTAATTTCATTTTTACATTTCTTAAGTCTACATTAAAGTCCATGTATGAATATTAATATCGTGTTACACGGGTGGGAAGATATTGAGTTACATAATTGCATCACATTGGTTGTCTAAGAATTATTTTTTTCTCATAGTTTATCAAAGTTATTACGTTACTCTATCTAATTCTGTAAGATTTTGAGTTAGGTGTTCATATTATTTCGCATTCTTTTTCTCAGCCACAGCAGTGAATCATCCAAACAATAAGAAAATTGCTATTCTCTGGCACGTGTATTTTTATAAAAAAAAATTGGTACATAATTGAATTCGAATAATCACATAAAATTATTGAAACATAAATTTCTGAGTAATCAAAATAAAGATCAACAACTATTTTAACTTAAGGATATTGCTTAAACAAAGTTCAATATATAAAAAAGGTTTCACAATGAAAAAAATTGAATACCTTGAGCGGAAAAGGGCCTAAAATAGCCCTCAACTATTTGAATTGATATAATGTTGCCCTTCATCTACCTTTTGAGTGTGAGCAGTTAGAAATAAGGATATTTTAAGCCAAAAGTTTGAAGTCAAGGGTATCTTGGGGCCAAAAGGTGGATTAGGATAGTTTTGTACCAATTCAAATAGTTAAGGAGCATTTTAGGCCCCTCTCTGTATGTTGAAACTTAGATAAATTTGAATTTATTCAACCACATTTATAATTTACACCAAAGAAGAAAATTAAAGTGACGCAGAAAAATTATACCAAAAGATATAAATCACCATGCACTCAATTTATAATGGGTGAGACATGATTTATCATCCATCTTATTAAGTCACAGAGAAATTAAATCAATATGCTTTACTTCATCATTAACTTATACGTATAACTAATATTGACTGATTTATATTGGCGCAAAACAAAAAATAGGACTATAAATTAAAGGGAGAAATTCTCAAGCAGCTAAGCCAAATAAAGGATTCTCTAACAAAAAGGAGTTTCAATTTTCTACCTAAAGAATTTATTTTAACCATGTATTAGAAGAAAAGTGACTCCTTTTATAACATATTTTCAAACTCACTTTTTTTTAATCTTTCAAAAGCAGAGGCGAATTTAAGATTTGAAATTTTTGATGCACTAATAAATTTAAAATATATTTTTAAAAATAGGGCTCTAGTTGGATTTAAACCCTGGTCTCTCAGGTGGTTTCTTTAGCTTGTACCAACAACACAAGGGAAATCCTATACTCCCCATGGGTGCAATGTTAAATTCTATCCATATATATATATGTGTGTGTGATTTTTTCCCAAAGTTAACGAGTGCACGTGCACCCCGAATGTGGGTCCGCCTCTGTTCAAAAGCATACTAAGGAGCTTTTGTTACTTAGTCATTGGTGCAAAAGATGAGGATGACCAGTGCCCTTTTTCGACAAATAGATTTGAAATATAATTTGCATTTTTTCGGATTACACTTTTATTATAAATTAATAGAACTTTAAGTCCTTTTCGCAGATAAAAACAATTCACTAGGCGATCATATTCCACAATCATGGTTGTTAAAGAAAATAATTAGGAGGAACGTCAAAAAAGGCAGAGGGAGACCTGATTTGAAGTTGATAAATATAATATTATACTTTTTAAAATTTATTAAATTATTCTAAATTAATTTTATTTAAATTAGGACCATACATTGGGATTCTTTTACCCTCATCGCTAGCCAGTCGGGATGCTATCTCTCTTCTCCTTCGTCACTCAACCATCAAAATATGTTATTGGATAATAAGATGTTTAGAAATCCTTTTTTATATATCTATTTAATAAATTTTAAATATAAATATTAAATTTAGTCTAAAGTTACTGATTTGATCGAAACCATAATTGAAGCGCTATGCTCCTCCGTTGGTTCAAAGAAACAAAAGTCAATCCACGACCATAGTCCTTATGCTAGAATTTCATGCTTTGTAAAATCTTTTTGAAAGGTCCCCACAATATCATCAATCATCATTTTTTGAAAATTATGATGCTTCATCCTTCGCTTTGAAAATTTGTAGATACATGTAACTTTTTCTAGTTATTTTAGAAGCTTTATAAAAAAAATATTATTTTTAAAATATCTATTTAAATGAATCAATATTCTTGGTTTTTTGGGGACATTTTTCATGTGAATTTCATTTGCATATTGTTTATGTTGGGCATTAAAAAGGGAGGAGTTGAAATTACTTAGCCGCATACAAAATGAATAGGAAAAAAAAATATGCACAATCTTTTATAGTAAAGTTCTATTTTTAAATATTAGGAAAATCGTATTAAAGAAAAACAATTTGATTTTTCTAATAGTAACATTATCAATTTTTTTATGATGATGATATAAAATGAACTCCAAAATTCAAATTTGTTTGAATTCAGATGCATATATGATTGTTGTCTCATCATATATCGACATCTTAAGTTTTAAAAGTCTTCTAGATATACAAATATTGTGACACCTTTAAAATTATAAATTTTAAAAGTTTTTTTTAAAAAATTTTCATATTTAATAAATAACATCATATAAATTAAAACCAGAGTATAAATATATCATTACATATATGACTTTACAAAGCAGAAAACAAGACATTTTCCAAGTCGGAACGTGATTGTTCCTTGAGAGAAAAGAGAAAACACAAGGACAAACAATGTGAGTCATTAAGATTCTTTGTCTCCTCAAAACTTCTCCTCAAAACTTTCAACAACACAAACAAAATATTTTTCATACATCTCTTGTCTTTTTTTCTTCTATATATCATTCAAGTAGACTTTCATTTCTTCCTTGCTAGTACTGAAAAAAACCTTCACTTATTACTCATCACCTGAAATAGACGACAAATTAAGTTTTAACTATCAGTATAATGAATAAAGGAGGTATGTTAGCGGCAATTATTAAGCAGTAATAATATGATCTGAATATGTACCACCAACATTCTAATATAAATGTCGTTAAAGGTTTTAGTAACTCTGAATATAATGACTTGAACTCAATTATCGCTAAATGTTTGTAAAAAAAATCTATTGCCACTAATGTATCTTTTATTGTAGTGTATAATAATTGTAGTTTATATGCATTAACTATATATTAATACTTCTTAATACCAAACTAATAGAGTAATAGTATAAACTATCAAGAAAATGCTTTTTAGACTTATAATAAACTCAATCCAAAATTTTAGTTCATGAGATAGAAAATTGTAAAAGAATGTTCATACTAGAGATACAACAACTCATTCTTCTAACATGTCCAACATGTTCAAAACTAGACAAATAAAATTTACTACCAATATTGTAAAGTAAATAAATTGCCAAATTTAACTTATGATATGAGAATTGTTTAAAATCATATAAAGAGAGAACACACAAGCAAAAACAGTTATGAATTTGATTGAGGAGCACTAAGAAGAATGGATCGGAGATCTGGATCAAATTAATTACTAAAGAAAACCTTACTTTTTATTTAAATATAGGGCCAAATTAATTAAGTCATTAATATAGAGAAGAAGTTGATGAGTATGAGATACCATTAATAGTTCTTTTGCAATGAAGAACAGCTTCATAAATAGATGCCTCAGAATCACAAGATCTGCGCCAATCCTCTTCAGAATAATTAGCTATACTTGTCCTTGGAGTCAAAGATGTCCCTTCAGAACTTTCCCACTTCTTCATTAACATTGGTCCCTCCAGCACCTTTGTACTAGTACCACTTTTGCACCCAAAACTCATTTTCTTCAGAAAATCCAACAATTTCTGAAATATCCCAACCCCTGAAGATATCTTATGTTCATCAGAATTCGAAGGCTCCGCCATATTATTTTTCATTATCAATTCCTCCTCATCAGATATCGGAAAATTGAAATCATGTCGATTAACATTAGAGAATCTCTTAGATGGAGAAAGTGAAGGATCCATTTCAATGAACGCCGATTCTTCTTCTTCTTCTTCTTCTTCCATATTGCTATTGAAATTATTAGCTAATATCTTCGGGTAATTCATGTCCATCTCCACTCGCTTTGATTTTTCTGCATACAAACAAGATCAGACACAAAAATAAAAAAAAATGGTGAAGGGGTCTCAACTCTCAATCTCATCAAGTTTTACATGGAAAGTAAGTTATATGGGGTCACACTACGTAGTCAATAACGTGTGATATAAGGAAGTTTGTTATTATCTACTTAATAAGATGAAATATTGTATAATTATACACAGCCAATACATCAGTACTAAATGATCTTTTCTTATTCCATATATAGTAAAACCTCATTAAATTAAATCAATATAGGTGAGACCATCAAAATCATTATATCTTATTAAATTATGTATCATATTTATTGAATTTATATTTTAGAAAAATTATTATATATAAAGTACAATATGTGTGTGATTCATTGTAAAAAAAAATTTGTTAAATGATTCATTGTAAAATAAAATAAAAAATTTAATGATTCATTATACATAATGTTCGTTGTTTCTTAATAATCAAATTAATATTATTCATTGTATCTTTACTAAAAAATATATATATATATATATATTCAATGTATGATGGTGAGAGGATAAACTATAAGAGCAACAAAGGAAATTTATTTAAACATTATATCCAGAAATGACTTCTCATTTAAAAAGTGTCATGAAATCAACAATGACATATCAAATACGTAAATCATTATGTGAGTACAAAAGAGATCATTCCTCGCGCACTTAAAAAGATTTGCAGTCGTGGCAACATCGAAATTTTTTAATGCAATAAGAATAGTTAGAGATGAACTTTAACTAGATTTAAATATTAATTAAAAAAACAAAACAATAGAGTCATATTTTACTTACTTGTCTTAGACATATTTATATTTTAAAGAATTATTAATTTGTATTATTAATGAAATCATATATTTATATAGGTGTTTTTTGAAAATAATATATTATCTTATTATCTTATGGGAATGAGTGATTTTTTTCATTGACTCAAGTTGAGACCGAAGAAAAATATTATCTTAGAAAGATTATTAATTTATCGAGTATTAATTTAGTAGTTTTACTGTATTACTGGTTTTGATAATAATTAAATTTATTTTAAAATATATAAAATTAAGAAAAATAAAAAGTCATTTATCAATGTTTTTTTTTTTCCAAAAATTCATCCTTATTACCCAATTAATGAAATGTTACTTAAGTGAGATGTTTTTTCGAGAAAACATAAAAGGTAGTTTAGAAATGATTTGAGATTATTAAATATCTTCTAAAAGAATGTGTAAAAATAAAAAAGACAGATAATATGAAGAAAAAGAAAACCGTATTATTTTGATCGAAAGACTCTAATCCTTTTGCTAACAATAATATTTTTGTCTGGTTGTCTGCTACAGACCAATTCCATATATTAAGCAACATAAAATATTATGTCACGTAGTCTAATAAATAATATTATATTAAAAAAATATTATATATAATGTATCAATCTTGTAATAAAAAAATACAATAATATATAAAATTATACACAAATATTGGCTAAACTGAATAACAAACTCAAAATATGAGTTATGTGGATAAATATTTTCTCACAAGAAATATAAAGTGTATTAATTAATATTAATAAAATAAAATAAAATAAAATGAAGGAGTAAAGAAATAGATAAGCAAACCCCACTGGCCACTTGCACTCATGAACATGCATTATATTACATCTAAAGCTTACTCTTAATTATACTAATTAATTCTAGTATATTTACAACAACTAAACTTCATAAAGAAGCTATGACTTTATTGGAATGGACAATAATAGCCAAGAAATTAAAATGTCTGTTAGTAATAAACATGTTGATGCACTCTGTCCACAATCCCCAAACTAAATAAAGCCATAGAATAATGAAAATTGTACCACAAGCTTACAAATTACACATTATACACAAATCTTCTGATTTTGTAATTAGTGTTAAACGAGTTAATTACATCATATTCTTACTCTTTTCAAATTACAAAAATTTCTTAAATTTGTTGGAATTCGAATACATTCCAAAACGTCCTAATACATCACATCTCGGTTTGGATACATTGTTCAACGTCCTGATACATCGCCTCTCAGTTTTGGATAAATCACTCAATGTCCCGATACATCGCGTACGTCTCGTAGTGATGTATTCGATCTGTACATTGCGTAAAGTGATGTATCCGAAGCGTTTCGATACATCGTGTACATCCTGATACATTGTGTATAGTGATGTATCCAATCGATACATCGCGTAAAGTGATGTATCCGAAAATAGGAGATAGTAGGGATTTTTGTAATTTTTTCAAATGATAAGAATTTTAGAGAATATAATAAATAAATTGTGTATTTAGATAATTTTCAAGTTGGTCCTAACGAAAGCACCCGAACAGATAAACACGTCGCACACAAAACTTCAAAGTCGATATAACGTCGCTAAGTATTTTAAATCTCCAAATTTGGGCAAGTTTTACACAGAAGTATAGTTCCACAATTTAGTTTGATAGTTCCATTTAGTATGTTTTATGAGTTAACCATCTACTAGTGTAGTCGTGGTATATTTACGATACACTATAAAAAAAAATAGGTATATTTTATTTTTTAATTAACTTGGCTAAAATTAAATGACTTTTACGCGATAAAAGTTAGAAAATGAGTAATTTTAGTGTGATAAATTTTAAATTGAATAACTTTTATGTGACAATAAGTAGAAATATAACTTTTGTGTGATAAATTCAGAATTAGATGACCATCAGTGAAATTTACCTTGAAAATTTGTATGCAGATTTTTGTGAAATATAAGGTGCACATAAATGTGGGATTAAAATAATTATCAAATTATATCATGGCGATTGATAACTATTAGGTTAGGGAGATCCTCAATTTAGAATTGAATACGCAAAAGCAAAAATAGAGAAGAATATATAAATTAGAAATAAGGATATGCGAAATGTGAAGGAACAACTCAAGAATATTCAAAAAGAAACATGATGTTCAAAATTCTTGACTAGATTCAAGTAAAAACATATAGATTTATGAAAAGAAATTTAATGATTTTACTTGAGAAAATGAATCAAAATGATAGATCTTGATCTTGACTATTTTACTAGTACATTAAGACAATAATTAGTACGTAAAAAGTAGAAAGTAGAAAGTAGAAACTAGTCGTTTTATAAAAAATATCAAAAAAAAACCAAAGATATATATCACAAAAATAAATTACCTTATACGTAAAGGTTGAAACGGAAGCATGTCAATAATCAATAAAACTTATATGATATCTAGATAATAAAAACGTGATTGAGAAATTACTAACCTCTTGAAGTCATTGCAGAGTTCATTCAAAGCAAAGCTATTTAAGTCTGCAACTTTCTACTAAAATCAGATCAATTTCTCCAATGAAGGAACCTTTTTCTCCAAAAAGGCTATGTGCGTTTTAAAATTTTATATCATTTAAAACGTTACAAATCTGATTCTACAAAACCAGTTAAATACAGTCAAAACTTGAAGATATTAGTGCTTTTAAAATATTTTTTTCTTTTCAAAATTTATTAACTAATCATGCATAGTATGGATCACAGATTTAATAATAGAGTCTTCCAATTACGTTATTGATTCGTACATGAATTAATTCTACCATAATAAATTACAGATTATTTCACTAAATATTCGTAATTACACGCTCAATTTAAGCTTGAAATCAAACATTATGTTTTATTTAACTTCCTATGTTAGAATTATCGATATCAATCAATTAGATTAAATGAAAATTTAATGGGTGAAAATCATTTTCACCCCAAATTTTGCTTTTAAAATAAAACTCTCCCCCTCAACTTTAAACAATAATCAAACTCCTCCGTTGATCCTAATTAAAATTTTAAAATGTCTATCATACTCTTTCATTATTAGCTTTTTTTAGTTCTTTAAAAATCATGACATTATCATTTTCTTGAATTCATGTAACAACTTTTCCATAAAGCATAAACCTTTTCCCTTGGACGAAAAAAGTGAGAAATATAAATTAAGTATATAAGCTAATGATGTTTTATAATGAAGTAAATTAGCATAACGAAAAAATAATATTTTTATTAATAATAATCCAAACTCTAATATTTATTCATATAAGTGAAAATATCAGAGAATAATAGCTATACAAATATATTTCGGTGTAAGAAATACAAAATAATTAATTTAATTAAGGTCAATTTATATAGATTTTAAACTATAATTTATGTAACACTCCATTAATGTCAATCAAAACGTGTTTATTTATATATGCAATAGAGAATGTCCCCGCTATTTATATTATTTGACCTTCATTCTAAAAATAGTTGTTTCGATTTACTTGTCCAATTAATGAAATCAAAAGAATTTTTAAATATTTTTATTTCTACCCTTAATATTAAATAACTGCATAAAGTAGTAATAGTCGTAAAATATATGCATACATACATATACACACGCTAATGCATATTATATATATTGAAATAACAGTCATAAAATAATATTACATTTTGTAATAAATTTATAAAAATATTATTCTACTTAAATGTTAACGAACTTAAAGATAAAGTTATAAAAACCTATGTTAAAAAATAAATTATATACAATATAAAGAGGTATTACATATATGTGGCATAACAAGGGTAAAATGAGCAATACACATAATAAAGGGGGAAGTTTGATTATTGTTCAAAGTTGAGGGGGGAGTTTGATTTTTAAAACAAAGTTGGGAGATGAAAGTGTTTTTCACCTCAATTTAATTTATTGATTAATTTAATTCCTTATTATTATACTTAACTTATTTCATATGATGGATATAAAATCCAGATACATAATTTTCACATGAAATTTATAAGCAATCATAAAGAACATAGGGTTTTTTGTAGCTCCTAGAAATTAACTTTAGTTTTTTCATAAAAAGAACACCAAATAATTCACGAATAATCACTTATGGATTATGTTATTCGGACTCATCAAAAATATCATTGGATGCTTGTCGGAACCTCTCAAAAGTGTGCAT